GGCGTTTTTAACCGTATTATTAATAGTTCTTCTGAAGTCCATTTTCAATCGCTCTCATTCACTATTGCGCCTGATCGGAATCAAGCAAACAAGTAAGCAGCTGGGTGCCAAAGCGGATGATAAAGCGATGCTCATCCAGAATAAAAATTTGGATCACAGTATGGATAAAGTACTCGTGTAAACCATCTCGTTCGTACAATTCCTGGTCCTGAAATTATCTGTACCTTACTTGATGCAGTTCGAAGTAAACTTCAGCCAATAATCCTGCATGGTTGTGACAAAGAGCTTTATCGATGTTATCTTTTTGTTACAACTTTGCTTTTTACTGATTATTCCTTGGGTTTATTTGTTTCCATAATCTTGATAAATTTCTTAATTTCATTATGCGCCTACCAAATAACACCACATACTCATCAAGGTTTAAGTATTCATGTGAGCAACGGTTAACTGAAATGCTATCCTTGAAAACAACAAATTTCTAAATCCTACAGACAACAATCAGGAAGTAGTCTCTGGTTTAACAGCAAATGTTCCGATCCTGAATCCTGCAGGAAGGTAAAAGATGAAAGGAGTGGTTAAATTCAATATGCATTGCGCATCATCAACAGCAACATGTTGACCCGTAATTGACTCGGAGTAGTACTGACCCATGACCGATAACCTTAAGAATGACTTTTGGGAGAAAATTTGGTGTGATTCTCCCAAGGGATTCTTAAGCGTATTCCTCCTGGAAGATACTTCACTGCACCTCACATTCATTACGGGTAATAAATATAAGGCCATGCCAGTAAGTGCCACATCTCCACACATATTAAATATGTTACAACATCCGGTTGGTTCCAGTATGGAAAGTCTGACTACGGTAGCATATTACTGATTAGATGGGTGGTAGCTTTTAATGTCGTGGCGATCTGTTAAATGGGAATTGTGATAGCATGGAGCGTCACAAGGAAGCATTCATTGCCGCTATCGTCAAGGAGTCATCCACAAGGACAGACGAGGTTTTCCACTTTTTTTTTCACATAAGTTTCTAATTATCGTGAAAATGTCTGAAGATTTCATTTACTGATGGTAGAAGAAAGCTTCTATCAACGAGCCATTGCTGAGAAGCGAAGCCCGTTGCTGTTAACAGGGAAAGTTACGAGTTACTAGACATAAATCTTGCCTGTGTGGAAAGAGTAGTATATATGTCTTTGTTGGGTATGTTTGTTGACTTTTTTTCAGGACTTGAAAATTATATATTCAAATTTACGACGCTTAGACGTTTTTCATAACTTAAACGATGCGCCACTTCGAGCAATTTGTTGTACTGCGCGTTTTGAAAGACATCCGGCTAATTTTATTCTTTACCGGTGAGAAATATGATCCAGCTTTATTTTTTTCTTTTTTTACTTAACGAATTTTGTATGAGCTTTTGTAATATGTGGAGAAGTTTAAATACATGGAAAAGGAACTCATGTTAGCTTTTTACATATACATTAATTTTAGACAAGGCCAAGTTGCCACATGTTGGTATATATTACTTTCCGGATGTGTTTTCATGGATGAACAGATCTACTTACCCTGTGGCTGGTATGTTATTTTCGGTTTCACTTTGTACAAAATAAGTATGGAAGGTATGTAATTTAAACCTCACTAATCGTCTAGGTGTCTGGGGTTTTCCCGACATCCTAACATCTTAAACTGGGTAGAAAAAGTGTTGAAATAAACAAAAAGGAATGGATATGTTGTTAACACTGTAATCTTATCTAAAAGAATCCTGTGTTGTTGTGGTTAATGGAATTTTGATAATTCTCCTGCAACCGAACGAATTTCGAGGTGTTCGTTATTTTTACAACTCATTACAATGGTCCCCATTCCGCGTAAAAGTTCGTACCTCACTGACTAATGTGAAAGTGTTGCAGGTTTGGCAAGCGAAATGGGTTGGATTATCGACGCAGAAATGATTGCATTGTTTTGCAACCAGCAGAAATGATTGTAGTTAGTTTTTTTTATACATAAGATTTTAACTGACGACTACTGTTTACTGTTATTCAGGTGTCAGTAAATTAATTGATGTTTAATGTTGAATTAAATCGGTTGCGTCTAATAAATTGGATGAAGAGCGACATATTTAATTCTTAGCTTTGAAACCATGTCTCATTTCTTAATATATACCTCTTGGCCTTTTTTTCCAGATTGATTATCCTGATGTGAAACACATAAAGGTGAACAAGGGACATACGTATTCGACGGGGAACAGTGGCCATTTACGCAATTCATTATGTGCATTGAGCGCTACATCCGTTCCATCATCATCTGGCACTGTCACTGTTTCAGTTCGTTCAGGTGCCGATCCTGTTACTTCTAATTCATCGCTTTCGCCACCTTCTCGTCTTTACAAGACTGGAAAGGCATCATCCCTCAGTACTGCTGAGTCACCAGTTTCAAGGTGTGAAAGGAAGAAACATAGGTCTTTTCGTCGGGAGAGAGACGATATATGTTCCAGTAATGCTGCTGCTTCTGGTTATGTCTCAGCATACAAAAGCCAGGTAAGCTTACTACAAAAAGCATTACTACTTGTCAAGCACATATGGTGCGATAGGCTATGAAATTTTCCGTTCTGCTTATTAATTCTTAAGGTATATCTGAATGGTCTGAGTGCAGATGGGGATACTCGCTTCAAGGTGAAGCACAAAACACGCAAATCTAATTCTGTTTCGAATCCAAATAGTGGCGAGCTTTACACACATTTGTCAAGTACAGCTTCATCAAGTGCGAATGAAGATGATTTACATGGTGCGTTGCATATATTCATTTATCTGAATATAAACGAAATGTTGGTCCAATGATATTGCCGTATACTAAATTCGATACAAATTTCTTTAAATTCCCTGTTTTATTCACCTTGAATTGCTATATGTTGTACTAATTTTAGGGCTTCCAGAAGCAGCAGTCGACAGCGAAGAAGACGATGAATCATGTCCATCATATGATAGTTTTCATGAATTGAAAGATAGCGTTCGTGAATGCCTTGAGAAAGAACCTTTTGAAAGAACAGCTGACGATATATGCATACTACTGGTATGATTTGCTTAATATCTGCATATGGAAATTCGTTGGTATTATCTGTTTATGTTTACGAAAGCTAATTTAGATGGTGGAAGTTCTATAAAACCATAGCACAAGTGGCATGTAGAGTGATAGTTTGGCACGCAAGAACTTCAAAAAGTGCAGGATGCATATAAGCCAAACTGGTTTTCAGGTTTCGCTTTGTAGAACGTTTACCATCACTAACTAGAACGCAGAATGAAGCTCAACATTTAAAACTTCATGATTTCTCAGCAAAAGTTCATGGGGAAAGTTTGTTTTAGGATTTTATGCAGCATATGTCTGCTTTGGCAACACTTCCATTGAGTATAAAGCGTCAACTTTGCTTAAAAATGGTATTCGCTGTTGTATCGGAAGCAAATACAGTTGTTATGCAACATAATGAAAGGATTGATGCATGGTCAGTCATCGTAAACGGCCAGGTAGAAGTTGTTTTACCGGATGGCGAAAGGATCGAGTATAAACTTGGTGACTCATTTGGTGTGCAACCTGATATAGTCCCTCAGGTACGTTTTTCTCTTAAAAGTTATCCTTGAATGATTAAGCGAGCTTGATTTTATGGTTTGTATGTCTGGCGTAGGTCTTATATCTCGTAGAGAACAGATCTTGAGTGACTTGTTCCGCGTGATATGGGCAATGATGCTAATGCTTGTTTGTTTTTATTGAAATTCAACGCATTAAATGCAAATTTTAAGTTTAGCTAAAAAAAATTTCAGTACCATGTAGGAGTAATGCGAACAGTAGTTGATGACTGTGAATTTGTGCTGGTTGAACATCGAGATTACTGTAACATTATGAGTACTATAAGTGAACATATTGAACAACATTCTGATGGAATCACTGGTGAAATTGTCTCAGAAATAGAACGAAGGTATTGATACGAATATGTTTCACTGCCGTTTATCCATTTTCATCTAAATGTAAACAGTGTTTCGATAATCTTTCCATGCTCCTCGTATCTTCACTTTTAATGACACATTCAGAAAACTCAGTGTATACTTTTTACATATGTTCATAGTAACCGCTTGGTTGTTTAGATCAGTGGGTAATCAAATGGGTCAGGTATTGATCAAAGCCAACCGAGATAAGTTGATCGAACATTTAATTGAGGAAAGAGACACGGCAGTGGATGCCCATTATATTGAGGATTTTCTGCTTATGTATCGCGTATTTATTAGTGATCCAACTATGATTTTTGAAAAGCTAATGCACTGGTTCGCAGAGTCGAACTTAAGAGACAAGGTTCCTTCTAATCGAGTTTTATTACTTTTTTCTCCATAAATTTTTATGGGGAAATGCTTTACTTAATACAGAATCAGCATGAGGTATTTTGCACTAAGTGATTGCGTTTTAGATGCAAAGTGTATAAGTAATGTTGAAAGTTTTCAAGATGAACACGCGCAAAACTTGAGGTTGAGAAGTCATTCCTTCTGATTGTGGCAGTTTTTTTGAAGTCTCACAATAAGTACTGTATAGATTGAATAAGACTACGCTACAGTCGGTATCATAGGCTTTTATTTTTTTTGAATGTTATTCGACCGTATGACGGCCAGTGTACGACAACACTGCTAGTGTCATATATGTTGGACTAAATAACTAATTACATAGCTGTCATAAATGTTGGATTTTTGATGATAGTTTTTACTTGAGCTGCTTATCAGATTGCACGAATTGTGTTACTTTGGGTCAACAATCATTTCAATGACTTTGAATGCAATGGTGAAATGATGCAGTTGCTTGATCGCTTTGAGCAAGCTCTCGAACGAGATCAAATGCACAGTCAGCAGGTAACTGTTGAATTGTAGACTAATTGAATGCTTTTAATTAGGACAGTTCCTTACTAATTGTATAAAATTTTGGTATATGTAAAATTAAATATTAATGATTTATTGATCATGCTATTTATATAACTGACAATGTTACCATTGTCGTGGATGTCGCGTTTTTTTTTAATCTCATGCCGATGCTGAGAAATTTTTAGTTTCGATGACCACGCTATTTCTGTGAATTCTGTTAAGCATTGGTTTTTTTTTTTGAGAATCGATCATATTAGATCGTTTTTTTATCAAAAACATCGTCTTTTTAAAAACATTTCTCTGAAAAACATGTCATTTTTATAGTCATTATTGAACATTGCGTGCAGCGTAAAATCTCGAACAAGAAATATCGTATATTCTCGTTCAAGTAGAGATCAACCTCTTTCACTCTCAATTCTTGGTGGCAAAGAAAACGGTTCATCTGGAATATTCGTCTCTGATGTTCAGCGTGGTAGTCGTGCTGAAAAAATCGGTCTCAAGCGAGGCGATCAGGTTTGCTTACTACTCTCTCACACGAGTAAGAACTGAAAATATGTAAAGAAATAGCTAAACGATTAAGCCAGATAAGAAAAGTAACTGTTTTTTTTAATTGAATGGATATTAAAATGTGTTCTTGGCAAACTGAATTTCTTTGGGAGGTATTATTGCTAATTCATATATTTTTTAAGATAATCGAAGTGAATGGTCAAAGCTTCAAGAAAATTAGTCTGATCCGAGCTTTAGAAGTTTTGCACAGCAACACCCACTTGTCTATAACAGTCAAGTCAAATCTTCTGGGTTTCAAGGAGATGATTGCTCGTTCAGAACGTGCAGTTGATGTTGAGGATCACTGTAATGCATACCGGAAAGGGCCGGATATTCGCTATACAAAACATAGAGCAGTTCCGAAGGTTATTTATTAAGGATTCTTTGAATTTGTAACACTCAGTGAAATCTGCAGACAAGTGTTTTGCATTTTATCTTAGAAGATATTTGGTGCAAAATATGATTTAGGATGATTTAGTTTAGGGAGAACTGTCAGAAAAGCACATGGTATTTGTTTTACAGTTGGCAGTTTTTGCAGCAAAATGAAAGTGGCCAGAGAGGATCCATGTCATGTATGATAGGAATGAATCCGCGATCAGGTGCTTCCAGTTTTTCATCCTTACCGCCAAGTGGTATGACGAGTAGTGTTGGGAACAAAACTTCAATGGTGGATAAACTGCTGACAATGCTAAAGGGCTTACCGAATACATTACCAGATGGACCTGTTACAGAAACAAAAACGGTACATTTTTAAAAAATATTCTAATTGTACATGTCATTTAACCATATTTGAATGAAAGCAAATTTAGATTCTAAATTGCATGTTTTTGATAACCCCATTTGTCCAGTACATTATTTCGGTTTTACTAACATCATTGGATGTAATATAATCTTACTGGTGAAGCGCATTTACATGCTCGAAATTTTCTTACAATCGCCATTAAAAAGACAAACACCTACTTCTTCTCTTTTAATCCACTTATTAATTAAACTTCCAGTGTGTCAGATCGACACAGCTCTGGGTTTCAGTATACTTTAGTTCCATATGACATAAACTTTTTTGATAGTCACTGTTTAACCTAATGAGCTGTTCAGGTGCGCTTTTATGGAAATTTACTTTCCTTTAAATATTTTCAGCTAAATTCGACACGATCGAGTTCCCTTCGTGCAAGTCGCTCAAATCCCGACATTGCTGGTCATTCTGTAGGCCCATCTCGAATCTCAACAATGAATATTGCGCAATATTATCAACCCGCTAGTAGTCCGTGTCCGGAACATGTTTTAAAAGTATATCGAGCGGACCAATCATTTAAATATCTCACCGTTTACAAAGAAACGACTGCTCAAAATGTAGTTCAGTTAGCATTGCAGGTCTTTTTTTTTTGAATTTATCTTTCTAATATCAAGTTTAGCCAGGAATTCGGTTTTTTTTTTTTTTTTTTTTATTATTTTTGATTGTTTTCTTCTTTTTTTTAGGAATTCGGTATGAGTTCTGACAGTGGAAGTTTGGAATGGGCACTATGTGAGACAACTGTGACAGTGGACGGGGTAATTAAGCAGAAGCGACTTCCAGATCAAATGAACAACCTTGCTGAGCGAATTCAGCTTAATAGTCGTTATTACTTAAAAAACAACAGTCGGTGAATCTTTCTTACTGTGGAAGTTTCAAACTGATATAATCATTCTTCCTCTGGTTTTGATTTTAGAGGTGTTAACCACCAAGTGAAATGCTGTAGTTTGAACTTTTTGAATTACTTATACTTATGCAGAATATAACGGTCTTCTTAAGGTAGTGAAAAGTATGGTTTTCTTATTCATAGTAATAGCTAAGATATTCCGACTGGGAAAAAGGATCCATTAGTCAAACCAGATTTTGGGCTAACTGCACTACCGGGCGTAAACTAATGCTAAGAAGTCAACTGAATTTCAGATCAGAACCGTTGGTACCTGACGAATTGGCTCCCGAAGTTCTAAAAGAAGCAGAGACTCATCTACTTCAACTGAATGCGCAAATACTTGCTGCGCAGCTTACTTTACAGGTGAATATTTGTTTATACTATAAAAATTTTCTCCTCATGTTATAAGCTGATAGCTGCTGATATTTATTCAGTGGATTATTAAAAGAATATTTTATAGTGTTTTATTGTATTTCAGGATTTCGATGTATTTTCGGCGATTGAACCTACAGAATATGTAGATAACTTATTCAATTTGGAATCGAAGTATGGTTGGCCAAAGTTGGCTGATTTTGAATCTTTATTTAATAAGGTATATAGTTTTAACCATGTTGCTTATAAAATATGTATCGATTGCCAATTTATTAACCCAGGATTATTATTATATCATGAATGTTATCACCACTCGAATTTCAGTATTACCGTTGTCTCCTGTTTTGAGCCGTCACATTTACGTGGCTGTAGATAAGCATGACAAAAGAAATCCTTTCATTTTGGTTGTGGTTTTCTTTTATTCTAAACTGTGGGTAGCATTTCAGGAGATGTGGTGGGTTGCAACAGAAATATGTCGCGAGAAAGGTTTGCAAAAAAGAATGAAGCTGATAAAGAAGTTTATTAAAATAGCTCGATATTGTCGGGACTTCAGAAACTTTAACTCGATGTTTGCGATTATGAGCGGCTTGGAAAAGCCTGCCGTTCGAAGACTGCATCATACGTGGGAACGTGTTCCAAGGTTTGTTAAATGCATATTTTCTTTGTTGAAAAATCTTAGAGTTTTACTCTTTCAGTAAATATATGAAAATGTTCGAGGATGTGCAACATTTGGTAGATCCATCGAGAAATATGTCGAAATATCGTCAGCATCTTGCCATTGTTTCACAGGAACCACCTGTTGTTCCCATATATCCGGTGCTCAAGAAAGACCTGACATTTTCACATGAGGGTAATCCGACATATTGTGAAAAGTTAATCAATTTCGAAAAATTACGGATGATTGCGAAGGCTATTCGTTCGGTTACTAAACTGTGCAGTTCTCCTTATGAAATTGGCGTTATGGCTCAGCAAGTATGACTTCTTTTTTGATAGTGTTTTTGTTTATTTAAAAGCTCATTGTAAACTTTCTACAGCCAGAACTACCTAGTCGATGCAATCCATTCTTCCTTTAGCTGTGTTGCTACTCGCATATCGAACTTGGTGCAGTATAGATCTCTCAAAGAATGTTAATTATGGTATCAATACATACCTTGCATAGACCTCGGATGAGCTGGATTCATATACAAACTTCACTTTAAATAAAATACAAAATTATTTTAAATAAACTGAAACATAATTGTGGTTAAATTTAAAGAGTGGTGGGAATGATGTTAGTGATGCGCTAGTTAATATGAATAGTTTTGATGGTGGTGCTGGAACAGTCGCTACAATGAGGAAAATGGGACCAAATGCAAGTTAGTTTATTTAGAGTTCTTAATGTCTTATGTTTTTCGTATCTAAGTGCTGTCGTACTTTCTTACATTTCACATAGACTGCGACTTTTTAAAAAAAGATTCATGTTGTGCTGAAAAATTCTGCATCAATAATACAACAAAAATTTACAAAACTTTTGTGTCATTTTTCTAAGTAATTCTTATTAAAACACTTTCAAATTTTCAGTGAAAACTGCAACCCAGCCACGTCGCAAATTATACGAACAAGCTCTAATGGTTCGGAAAGTCAAATCCTATCTGTCAAATTTGAATGTCGTTGAATGCGAGGCGGATTTGGACCAACTTTCATACGATTGCGAACCGTCATATGGTAGCGCAAGCGTAACGCGGCGTAGAGCTCCATCACCTTCACCTTCGAGCTTATCGAGCCAGTCGAGTACTTCTGACCAACACAAGATATCGGCTCCAAAATTTGGTAGTTTTCAGTTGCAAGGAGTTTTTCGGTTTCCTTTAATGTTGCTTCTGGAATTAACGCAGCTATTTTTCTGCAGGTGTAGAGTCACCACATGCAGTACAAAAAATGCTTTCATTGGCTCAGAACTCACGTTTGAAACAAGGTAGCAGTGGAAATTTGGTACTTGTAAGCCCCCTTCAGTCTCCTTTGTTGTCTTCAAAAGGTGTTCGCCTACGGAATACTCCATTGCCAGTTCGTCGTGTTCCTTCAGCATCTCATCATTCAAATGTAACCACAACCTCCGATGTACAGCCAGTAGATCTAAATGCCGAAAGTAGTTCTGTAACAAGTTTATATGCGCCCCGCATGAACAGTAATGGTAAATTCTTTTTTTTTAAATTCATGTCTACAGTTTGCTGTGTTACATATGATCTACCTACTACGTCTTTCAAGATTTTGGATTCAGTAATCGCTTTTTTGTCAGGAGGATTATAACATGGTCTGCAGAGCTGTCAATGTACAATATTTACCTCCATCTAGTTCGACATACTTTCTCTTCTTGTCATTGTCAATGGTGTACTTATTTTTTTAACATGGTCATAATCTTGGTATGTTATATTTCTTTGATCTATAAATAATTTGACCTGTAAATAACCTGTAAATAAAATTCGACCTATAAATAACCTATAAACTTGACCTGTAAATAAACTTGTAATTTGTTAGTAAAGTGGGTGAGGTCTGAATACCAATCGCACAGTTGGAAAATAACTAAACGACCTCTTTTTAAATGAGCAACTAGGAGGCGATCTGTACTGAATTTGCATGAATTCCTAACCTGTGCTGAATGGAATTTGTTTAAAAATAGTGTTAGTAGATTCAGTAGTGATGTTTACAGATTCAAAACAGTGTTTAGATTTTATAGGTGTTTATGGCTTTGTAGGTGTTTATAGATTTATAGGTCTAGATTCATTAGTATTCAGTTCACTTAGAGGAAACATTATTTAGCTTTGTTTTCTATTCTTTGACTTGGTGAAGATGTTACACTGTCGAAGCCGTCACAATCCAGACTTCTATTATATATATATATATATATATATATATATACGACTAGGTCATGGAATTTATCCTGTTCGTTATCCACATCGAAGCAAAAGACAAACCGATTATAGCTCTCCTTCCTGATGAAAACATCAACATTCCCAAAATAGGATCAGAAGTTAAAGAAATCGTTGTCATACTGGTTTCCATATCTCTCGAGTACCTAGGATCATGGTGGTAAAGAAAAAGGTGGCCCTGCCATTTAAAATCATTTCAATAAATGTTTTTACTAACTTTTTAATTTGATTTGCCAAATTTCAGGATCGATGCAATTCGGCTAAAAGCGGGTTCCAGTGATGCCTTGGTTTGGCTCGTGTTTATTTAGTCACGGGTTGTTTAAATTTGCGCACTGCCTCATTTTATGCGCCATTTATTGTATATATTGCCGGAATTAAGCATACGCATTTACGGCTACTGTTAGGGAATGCGCTTTGTTGCATTTATTTCGTTTGTTATGCTTTTTTTGTTTCCTAAACATGTACATGATCTGCCCTTTCTCCGAGGCGTAAAAGAACGAGAAATTGCATCACAACATATCCACTTTCAAGTACTGTCAGTTAAATTCAGCTTTGCGCGACGACATTTTGCAAATGGTGGTCCGCAGCGTGTATGACCATTTATGGATGAAAATAAAAACATACAAACATTAGAAGTCCGAGTATTTCGAACTTCTTATTAGAAAATAAGAGCTATAACGTCGGTTATCTGCGAATAACTGTTGTCCAACCATCTTCATCGGTTTCCATGCGTTTCCTCGACGGCTTCTTAGTTTGTTCGTCTCGGGTTTCATGCTCGAGTTCTTCACAGTCACTGCTTTCTTCATCTGAATTGTCCAATACCACTTGACTTTCTATCGCAGCAGTTTGCACGGAACTTTCGGACGGCAACTGGGACAGAAAATTCTCAAGTTCCGCTTTCTGACATTTCTTCAACCACATACTGCATTTTAGCAAAGATGAAGCAAGCCACTCCAGGCTATTATCCTTTAAAAAAAAAGATCTTAGAAAAACATTTTTATTGTTGTCGCTAACAAATGCAGCGGCAATATACTCAAAAAACCTCCAAAGCAATGATTTTCCCGGACTTCAAGGTAGCGGTCTTCGAAGTATTTCAAAGCAAAATAACGAACCTCTAGAATAAGATCAAATTCATTATCCAAAACGTCACTTATCCATTCGCTCAAGTCATGGACCTGCAGGTTCTGTGAATTGGATACATGCTCAGCTAGAACCTGAAATAATCTTACATTCTTGTTCCTGTTAGGCCATGCGGGGTTCACGCAGTACTAAATCCTTTCACAATTACCCACCGCCTGAGGTAAGTTTTCCCAAAGAACAGGAGTAATTTTTAAATACCAAATGGTAAGCAGTGTGGTGAACAACGGAAACAGCCGAAAATAAAACCTCACCTCAGCGAACCATTTCGCCTTTTCATACGTTTCCGGCCCACCGGAAAGCATCCTCACTCCCAACTGATATCCTGTCCATGCCCCCAAGAGGCGATCCACACAGAGCATCCAGTCATGCTCCATGTTTCGAATGCTACAAATCCAGTTAGTTTAGCTAGGTAACCAATTCCATCCATACCGAGAATTACCCTTGAAGGAATATCATAATCCGAGCTTTTTTAAATTCGTAAAACCTAAATTTAAATCCGTAACCTAATCGCAGTAAGTTACTGACACACCAGTTAGCACTCATGCCTCCGAATCCACCTACACACCAGCCACGGAAAGCCTCATGACAAAAAAATGTCTATTGAATGAACCTTCAAACATGCTCGACATATTTTACTCGATCATTTCAACCGTACTAATTTTCAATATCGCCGAAGTCCCTCATCACGTTTTAGTTTAACTCTAGCATCCTCATTGCTAGATACAGAAAATAGAATTTTATTAAATGCTATCCAACAGTACAAGCACCTGAAGCATGAGATGTAATTTAATGCCGTCAAGCAAACCTTCTTTTCTCATGGAACTTCAAAATAATGAGTGATGATTGATCCTTCACTGATTTTCAGCATGAACAAGCACGTAGACGAACGAGATTCATCCTCTCAGTAATGGTGAATGTTAAAAAAATAAACGCTTGCAAAAACGTACTTGCAAACACATGAAATATATTCAACTTTTTAATATAAAAGACGTTGATACGTCACTTTTGCAAAAACAAATAACAAACAGGTTTTAATTGATATATAACAATAACATAAATTATGATCGAATTTGGGCAACAGAAACCTGCCATACACGAATTACGTTATCAGTATATCCAGCATAAAGTGTTTGACCATCGGCTGACCATGCCAACGAGATACACTGTGGAGGCGCAGATTTAGCACCACCCATAACATCAAGCTTCAATTCATCTACAGGTTTCTTGTCTTCCAAATCCCAAATTTTAACCACAGGTCCGACGGCAGCACAAAGCCAATACCGATTAGGTGAGAACGCCAGTGCATTGATAACATCGTTGCCGCCCAAAGTATACAAGTGTTTTCCTTCATTTAAATCCCACAACATAGCGTTACCGTCCTGGAAAAAAAAGTGTTACATATATAATACGAAGCCATCAAATATATCCAAAAGAATTTTGATTTCCACCATCAAAAAAATGATAGAAATCGAAATTTCTAGTGTATGAATTGATGTTCAACATAGAAAAACTAAGTAGTCGCTGTTCAACTCTTTATACGCAAAATCTCGATGGTATCTCACCTTTCCGCCTGAAGCACAAAGTGAACCATCTGGCGATACAGTAACGGTGTTGATGTATCCCGTGTGCCCGATATGATTCGTCTTCAGTTTACAATTAGCAAGATTCCACACCTTCACAATTTTGTCCCATCCGGCGGAAACAATTACAGGGTTTGAACTCGAAGGTGAGAAACGCACATTTGAAACCCAATCTGTGTGACAGTCTTCCTGAAACAGTGACAATATCAGCGATATATGATATACAATGACAGATCAAGCTATTCGCATCAATTGTTACACTGCAAAAAATGGATAACAAAGAGACACAACAAGATCTACAAAATAGTGCACAGCACCAAATTTGAAGCTTTTACAATCTTTCCCTGAATTCCGACATTCAAAATACGCACGTTAACTGTATATTTGCACTGCGCTAAAGTGTTCCATAGTTTGATCGTTTTATCCCGTGATCCCGACACGATCTGTCGATTATCAGCAGAGAATGCGACTGACAATACATCCTTGGTATGTGAAACAAACTGCCTTGATGTTACACCTCTGAAAAGTGAATTCCGAAGTATTTCGCTTAAAATAGATACATTTTGTTAACATACAATTTAGTCGGAACCTTCAGCAAAAACGATTATGTATGGTCTATCCTCCAGATACAGCCGGTATTTCGATGAATCGCCTCAGAATACAGAAACGATGCGAAGGTAATAACAACCTTAATACTTCTGGATTTTCATATATGCACCACTGATAGTGTTGATAACAGTATGACTTACGTAGTAAGATCCCACAGTCGCAGCGTTTTGTCCCATGAGCCAGAAAGAGCGAACTGTCCATCAGAAGACATCACAACATCAGAAACAAAGTGACCGTGACCTTTCAATGCTCTTTCAGCCTTTCCACCTAACTGAGCCCCGTAACTTCCTGATAAATCATCCGTATCCAACTTCCATACAATTATTGTTTTGTCTGAAAAACAGCAGGTTTAACTTCTCCCATTTAAGCAGTCCACTAATTGAATGATTCCCACCACCACCTTTTGCTTGTGGAAATCATACTTGATGACTAGGTAACGGCAAAGGTAACTGTTAATCTTGTCCTGGGATCAAAACAAAGACGATGAACTCCAAATATATGTCAGAAACCAAACCGAAAAGATGGACTTCCAGGATAGTCCTACCATTAATGTAGCGTTCCTCTCAGGTGTTAGGGATAGCAAATTACAAAAAGCTTAAGAATTACAAAGAGGATAGCAAATTACAAAGAGATAGGATAACAAATTACAAAGAGCCAAAGAATTACAAAGACGATAGCAAATTACAAAGAGATAGGATAGCAAATTACAAAGAGCCTTATGTGGGCTTTTTAAAGCTCAGGGTATCAGGGATCAAATTTATAGCAAAAAGGAAGATAGGAAATTGTATGCTTTCGAAACTAGTTTGAGGCTCCTGTAAATACATCTCGTCATCGTTAGAAACCCATCCATCCAGCTATTCGACATATACCTGCTGCAATCTTTGATGCAAAATACAACAGAGAAGTAAATAATGTTTGCATAACAATTTCCTATCTCAGCAGAAATAACTTCTACCTCGAGAAGAGGAAATAATCATATTCGGGTAACGAGCATTTGTCGCTATTTGTGTCACCCATCCATTGTGACCCTTTAAAGTCCCTTTCAACTGCATTTGCTCCGCCATTGCTGCCCAGTTCTTCACGCAAGCTACAGAATACTTGACAACCGCTGCAATAAGTTTAGGGAAACAGATGGATTCAAGGAAGACAACGTTCGGGATATATCACGACCTACAGTGGCATTCCGGGACTATCACGACTTATAAACGCATTTCACAACAATATAACTCTCAGCGCCTACATGAAATCCAGATGGACTCAACCCTATCACCCTTCACCATTCTTATAACCTAAACACCCTCGCACACTGCCCTCGACCTAACAAGCACGAAACTCAGCCGACCCTATGAAACACGGCTCTGGTAGATGTCATTATGCAATAACTCGGTGCAGAAAATGTGTAAGAGCGTTTGTCGGCTGGGTATGTTCATGTGAATGATTGATTTTTGGGTATTTTAAGGGGGGTTGTGGAAGTTGCCTTGCCATCGATGGAATCCTTTCACTTTTCAATTGTACAAATGAGTCAGAAAATGTTTCAGTTAATTGAACTTAATGTTATGCTACAGTGAAATCAAAACAGCTTTGCTTGATCTGACGAAGGAATGTCACACACTTTGGGAAGAGAATAAGGATATGCAGGGTCGATTCGTGAATGATCTGACGGAATTGCATCGAATGCAGCTTGCTGTTAGCCAACTTGAACATGACCATCGGTAAGCAAGTACTGTATTTTCTACATTTCAAGATTTTCGCGACTTCTAATATTGTCTGTTCCGAACATCCATTATTTATGCTCCATTCGTGTATGTCATTGTCATTTGTTTATTATATTAAGGATAAGTTTCGTGAATGACACGCTATATGAAACATAGAGAGAGGCAAAAGGTGATAGGACTGCTTACTGACTGTCCATACCGGTAGCACTTTCTAAGCTACCGGAATAAGTTTTGTGTTTGGCATAAAAAGACCGGTGGAGTCATAACTCGTCGTTTCACTGGCCTCGTTCAGTCATATCCATTTTTCTGCAGCATTTAGTTATGCTTCAAAATTGCCTTTGTCATATTATATAAATTGATCGAATGGTTATAGAGACGATAAATTATCGCAAGCACGGACATCAGTGAGTGATATGCAAAAGCGGGCAAGCCAGCTATACAATGCACTTATGGAGAAAAGGTGTAATCTGACGCAGAAGCTAAGTGGTGGAGTGCATAATGTCGCATTGTTGCAAAATCAGCTGATTAGTGATTACCTGTATGACTGGAAAAACAGACAAAAACTTCATCAAGTTGGCGTGCCGTTTGAAGAACGCGATCATATGATTGATGAAATACAAACAGAGTAAGCATTCCTTACTCTATCCTTTCTCTGCTTGCCAGTGTCGAAATGCTGATTCTTCTTAATGTAACTCGAACATTTTTTCGCATAATGCTGAGTACTGTATCCGTTATTTTGATATTTCTGATTATAATTTACTATATGCTAAAATGAGAAATGAAATTTGAGATCTCAAACTGCTGTTAATTACTTATAGCAGTATTGCATGCTGTTTATATGGCATCTTGTCGCCAGTATGGAAATTTAGCTGGTAGGCTTTACGCGAAATGCTACTGTGTTGTTAAAATTTCCAGTGTTGTCAACTGTCGATATCTCTGTTATTTATATCAAGTTGTTTCGCGTTGTAAATATATTTACCTTCTAAAGGTTTGAAATGTTAGCGGAACAGAACTGGCAACTGAGAACATACGCATGTTGGCAGATGGATTTACTTCGTCGAGGTTGGCGTTTTTTCCTTCTTTTTTTTAGAGAAAACTGATTTCAGTTTAGAATGAGAATTTCATTTATTTCTATTTTTTACTTTTATCCATACGTGGTTGTTCATTTCTTTCCTACATCGTTAGCTGATACTCTTTTTAACTGTTTATTTCTTTTCTTTCTATGTAGTAATGGATGTCTTTATTCTCGAAAATATTGAGAATCTTCATACATACGTGATAAATGTTTGGTGAAAGAAAAGTTACCTTCATGGAGCATCCTGCAATGCATTTTTTCACGCGTGAAATAGATTTTGATTTAATTTTTTTTTTGTTTTTCAGGTCCACAAATGAGTGGTCATGTGGCACAGACGCTTATTGCAAATTTGAATTCGATACTGGATAACTTGACGAAGTTGCTATGTATGTTGGTTTCCCAAAGTTTTGTTGTTGCTATCCAACCTGAACCGGTTTTGAAAACGCAGCATAAATTTCTTGCGGAGGTGAGACTTCTTATTGGCGACAAATTGGGCATCAAACAGCATCTTGTCAATACTAATGTCACTGTTCGGATCATTGCTGAGGAAGAAGCTCGGTTGCTTAGCACTGCGCAGCTGTCCGAGAAAGACGTGTAAGTTAATTATGAGCGGGAAAGTGATCCAGACGAGTATGTTACGCAATCTTAGTAATAATCTTTTGAGGACAATTATTTCTATGTTTTCAGTAAAACTGTTGGCTCAATAAGTAACGATTTCGAAAAATTAACCACTGACGATAAAGGACACATGTCGGCAAAATTCAGCAATTCTGTGAGTTCAATTTTCGTGATATTCAGTCTGTTTCTACGCAGATGTACGGAATATTTATCAGTTCTCCATGAGGCACATGTTCTGTTGCTGATTTTTTTCCTAATCATTAGTGCAGAGTAGATGCTAATGAATTTGTTCACATTATCTGTTATAAAGGTTCTCATAGCTGGGTTTATAGAAGTTGACGCGTATTGCTCATCGAAAGCCGCCACCAAAAGGAGGACAAGGGGACTGTAAAGTGTCGGTGAATTCACAGACAGCTACTGATCAGAAATATGCGTTACTTTTTCATATAACCCCATTTCAACTTGGCAATCTTGGAAAGTTCGATGTTTGGACATTGTCATTACCAATTATGGTTACAGTACATGGAAGTCAAGACTGCGATGCACAAGGAGCCATACTTTGGCAGAGAGCTTTTTCTGATGTGGTTCGTAATATAGTTTTCCATCATTATTAGTATTTTTGTATAATTGGGAACATTTATTAATCATTTACGGATATCTAAATTTTAGAATCGTACGACCTTGTCGCCAGAAATATGTTCTGTCTCGTGGAAAGAGCTTGCTCAGGTCCTTCGTCATAAATTTGCGATCTCCACTGGTGCAGAGCGAGCAATCAGCGAGTCGGATCTTTCTTACATGGCTGAGAAGTTGAAGGTTTCTGCCGATGAAGAAAGAAAAGTAATAACCTTGCAGCGATTTGCGAAGGTGAGCATGATTTAGACATACAACTTTATCTTCTCAATCTACGTAAAACCAGCCGCAGTATCGAAAGTTACCTATTTAGTTTTATTCCATGATATCGTTAGATTTTGTTATGGATAAGTTTCACTGTGTAGAAATTATTATATTTTATATTCAGCAAAATTTGCGAGATGACGTCAGTTTTTCATTCTGGGAATGGTTTTTCGCTATTATGCAACTCATCAAGCATAAACTTTTGAAGTTTTGGGATGAAGGTTTGTCTCTGTATTTTTTTTTTTCTTTTGATTTGAATACCTTTATATTGTTGTCGAATAGGTGGCCTGATGCTTTTCATTCTTATTTGTAGTGTGAAGCTTTGTTTTTCATTTTACAGGGTGGCTAATTGGTTTTATAAGTAAACAAGACGCATCATCGCAAATGGTCAGTGCTCCCCATCCTACATTTCTTCTGCGCTTTAGTGATACTCAAACTGGTGCTGTCAGCATTGGTTTTGTTTGCGACGATGAGGATGGTAAAGGTAATTTTATCTCTGATCACCAATATTAAATCGTACCTGAAGCGAATTAAATTTTGCATGATGGAGGAGTTCACGTCTAGTTGCATTTGTCTTTCTTGTGAAGTTATTCTTTATAAATATTAAATATAAATTAATTTTTCGCACATAATTTTCGTCTCTTACAGTGCCTTTTCATCTTTCACCATTCTCTATAAAAGATCTCGATCAATTTTCTCTGGCTCAGCGTATTGCATCATGCCCACAACTGAAAGATATCAAGTAATTATTTTGATAAGCAATACAGACTTTTCTCTTTTGTACTTTTATTATTGTCAGTATTAAGTCACCAGGATCGCATTCCAGGACAGACTGATGTTGCTAGTCTTCAGGTTGAACATTATAATTTTTGGCTAAAATTGTTTGTTAAAACTTAAGCGTTTCATAAATATGTGTTTTAACAATACCAGATATCTATATCCGGATATTGATAAGGAGGACATGTTGCGATATTTTGAAACTGAAGAACGACAAAATTCTTTGTCTCCAACGGGTTATATTCAGTCTGAAATCGTCATGGTTGCAAAAACTGGCGGGTAACTAACGTTTTCTTTTCGTGCAATGAGCAGAATGAGAAAAAAGGAGAAGTTCTTTAAAGACCTTCCCAGTTTCGTTATCGTTGCTTCCATTCTATGTGGTTCCCATGGACCATGATTAGATATACGGATGAATCATTATATATACATATATATATATATATATATATATATATATATATTACTTATGTAAAATAAAGTCTGAAATTTCTATTACTGAAAATACCAGTGACCGTCCACGGTCATTTGTTGCAGAAGATCCGGATGTCAAGCTGGTGGAGATAGCCCATTGTTGTCACTTTCTGCACTAACTAAATTGGACTGGTCTCCGGGAGAGATAATTACTCGAACTCAGTCTACGGAAATGTGCGTTAATGTTTTTTCGTTATTTTGTCATATTGATTGTAGTATTTGAGAGACAGATACACGCTACTCACAAGACGGTAGCATATGCAGGATAAATGAGATGGTCCTGGAATGAAGAAGTTGGCAAAAGAATATGAAGTAGGCGTGAAGTTGGTTCTTTTGTGTTGTTGTCTATTATCATTGGAAGAGAATCTGATCATTTATTTCTTATTGGAAGGGAATTGCCTGTTTTAAACATTATTGCATAATCTTTCTACACAAAAAAGAAAGCGTTAGTTTACATCCATTTTCATTGCCGTGCTTTGTAATAGCAAAATTTTAATGAAAATATGAATTTTCCCGCAAAAAAAAAAATCGCGTTTTGGTCAATAGTTTCCTTTGTCCCTTGCTGAATAGATCTCGCTTACAGGAATGAGAATTATAAGAATGAAGAAATAGTATCGGTGTTATCAAGTAGTTTTGAAAACGATGTTGAGGCACTACTTGGGCCAGGTTTTTATCCGCAGCTTTCCAATCAACCTCTCCAACTTGTTGACATATCGTTTATTGATGGCTGCAGCAGTTCGCGAAGTAAGTCTGGTGACAGCATGGAAGAATAGCGCCTTCGACAGTTTTGGTCGCGTTTTAAATAACAAACCTTTGTAATATACAGCATGGATGCATTGGATTCTTTTATTTGTTTGAAATGGAGTCCTAATTAGATGTACATAGTTACTTACTTCCCCTATACTTTAAACAGGTATCAAATAAGAAACACAGTGTGATGTTTTACATACAGGAAATAAGAAAGCAAAGGCTGTGCACATTATTTATCTATATTCTAAAAACTTTAGAAATAATCTATTGTAATTTCTGTCAATTTACTCTGATGCATTTTGTAAAGCCAGATGGTAAACAATAATCCTATTAGCAGAGTTTCAAGGAATTGACTGGGCAGTAGTATGTGTGGATATTATATCTGGCATGCAGTATGCAGTCATTACTGAGGAGTGCATCTCACAGAACGACTGGACAGTCGTTTCAGTGATACTTTTTTCACTAAATGTCAGTGTTCTTCATAAATTGATGAAATATTAATTTTATTGGTAAATAGAATTTATCGCTGCATTTATCTGCCGATCTAAAATTTTATTTAATGTTTATATTGTATTAATTTTTATATTAATTTTCCAGAGTCCTATCAAGTGACGTTGTTGAGAGTGCCATACATGTAAATTTCATCTTTTTGAAATGATTAATTACATTAATGTACGCCTTTTTAATTTAACGACTTGTACGATAATGTATTGTCACTTTTCTGACATTAATTAAATTTCCTGTTTGAAAGTCATGTTTATGATGTTGTAATAATAGAATATAATAATTTCACATAGCAGCTTTCGTGTTAACTCATTGGTAAAGTGGACGATATTGAAGTCGAGACTGCGAACTGGTCATTCGGAACATCAGTCGATTTTTGGTCATAAAGAAAGACGCGTCTGCCACATATATTATCACATTCATTTCATTTAACTCATCCAATAAATTCCTCTTATTTGGTTTGCCTTCATCTTTACGCTACTTCCATGGAAAGCTACTAACGAGTAGTGAGGCCGCAGAAATACTGCTTATTATGCGTTGAGAAAAGGAGCAGAACTATTAAATTCAACTGTTAACATAGAGTTATCACTCAACAAAAAGAAAAATCAAACGATGGTGTTCTAACGGGAGCGGGAATTTTCATTGGGGGTTAAAGCGATTACTCGAGTATGTTTTTCCCGGCAGCTGACTTCGTCCAGCGATAAATGTATTGCTTTAAAAATTGCTCAAAGAAACTCATCCATACCGAATAGGAGTGCACAAGATGTTGCTGTTATACATACATACTTGTGTACAGCCAAACATGCACATACACACACACACACACACACACACACACACATACACATACACACACACACACACACACAAACACATACACAAACAGAAGCACATGATGCAGATGACGAGAATAATGTTCGCTATTGCAAGCGTTGTTGATCATTCGCCTTGCAAACTTTTCATCAACTTCTCAATCAAAACATAAGAAGAACTGAACTGAACACTGAACCAGTTCAGTTCATTCACTATCTCAGGAAGTATTGTATTATCGATACCTTTCTCTTTTATCCTCTTTCCCTCTCTTCCTCCCTCTCTCTCTCTCCCTCCTTCCTTTTCTCTCCATGTTTCCTGTTTTTGTTATTCAACAATTGAAAATTACTGCTCTCACATTCAACTCCATATTTGCGGTAAGTTGATATTACTAGTTATTATTCATCCTGAAACAAAAATCAACCAACCATATCATTCTTTCTTTTCAATGATTATTCATCCAAACTGTTGTTGCATCTTTTCTGTTTACAAAATGTAAATGTCATTGATTTGACAGCCATCAATCTATAGGTGAATTTATTTGTTTATTTTTACTCCTTCCTTACTTTTATTCTTCTCATATACTTTATTCAACTGAAAGTTTGAACACAAAAAAGAGTGAAATTTAAGAGTAATAATTAGTAATCGGTACGTATATTTTTAGTAATTAGTAATCGGTACGTATATTTTTAGTAATTAGTAATCGGTACGTATATTTTTAGTAATTAGTAATCGGTACGTATATTTTTAGTAATTAGTAATCGGTACGTA